ACTGGCTGCTATGTCACTATGCTAACTGAATCTGCTCCATCGTCTCCACTGTAAGCTGGGCCTGTGCATTAATACATACCTTATCCGAAACACAAACAATGCATCTCAAACATCTGACTTTACGGTACTTTGATCTGTTGTTAGGAATAACTGCCTTTTTGCCACACTAACCTTGTGTGAACAAACAATTATAGAAAGAAAGTACAGAAATCTGGTTGCTCAATGATTTTAATGGACCTACTCTTTAAAACTCACCCCTATAGAAAGTTCACTTGCTTCAGCCACATTAAATAAGTCTCAGCAATACCATTTTACAAACACTGCATTGGATACCCTTGAAATTTCTTCCCTCAGGTATCAAAACAGGCAACATAATTTCCCTTACTAGCAATAAAGAGCTCTAGATTGCCAGGTACCTGGCCATCAAGAAAGAAATACTGAAAATGTTTAAGAGAAATCAAACACATTAACAACTCCAAAGGTAAGTTTAAATGCCTACATGATCAAAATCTCAAGCAAAAATTCTGAAGTCACGGCTTCGCTGCTTAACAGAAGAAACATACAAGTAGCAAGCGGGTCATTGTGAATGAAAGATGGCAAGTCCATCTTGCTTCATGAGACTACTGTCACCATTGCAAATGGAAATGTGATATTTTAACTGCAAATACCAGAGAACTCATACCTTACATTTACTATTCAATTTATTTTCATTAGACTAACCCAAACCCTAACCGCTTGTCCTCCCACCTCAACCTTCAAGGCCCTGTCCTTGAGTGGTTTAGGTCGTACCTCTCCCACCGTCTTCATTTTGTTTCCACGAACGGCTTTTCCTCCGGCCCCCGCACTCTCGTGTGGTGTCCCTCAGGGCTCTGTCCTCGGTCCCCTCCTCTTCACCCTCTATATGCTCCCCCTTTGGTGACATCATCCGCAGACATGGGGTTAACTTCCACATGTATGCGAATGACACCCAACTCTACCTTTCGTCCTCTACCCTCAACTCCACGACCACCGATGTCCTGACAACCTGCCTGTCTGACATCGAGTCTTGGACGAGAGACAACTTTCTTCAGCTCAACGTGCACAAAACTGAGGCCCTCCTGATTGGCTCACGTCAGCGCCTCCGCACCTCAGGCACTGACAGCATCAGCATCCAAGGCTGCACTCTCCACCTCTCAAAGCCAGTCAGGAACCTCGGGGTCCTGTTCCCAACCATCGGTGACCGGGCCTTCAGCCTCTCAGCTCCTAGGCTCTGGAACTCCATTCTCCAGTACCTCCGCCTTGCTTCCTCCCTTTCCTCCTTCAGAGCCTGTCTCAACACCTTTCTCTTCGACCATGCCTTCAGCTCCCCTCTCGACTCTCTACCCCCTCCTCACTCCCTCCCTTCCCTCCCCTCACCCTGACCATTTCCCCCCTGCTCGGGTCTTGACCCAACTGTCCAGTGCCTTGGGACGTCCTCCTGACGTGAAAGGCACTCTATAAATGGAATCTTGTTGTTGTTGAGGCTCTCCAAGAAGTTTCCAGCATTTTCAAGTGCTTTGAGACATTCTGAAAAGTGCTATATAAATGTACATTATTATTGTAAATTATCTATGTGCAGGGCACTATATAAAAAAGCAACTTGTTATTGGCAACATCCCCTTACCTATCCCACCCTGGCTCAGGTTCCAGCCACCCACGTAAAGCGCATTGACACATCTTTCTGATGGAAAAGAAGCTACTGTATATTATATTGAATTATACTGAGGAGCATACAATATTTTATATATATATACACACACACACAATATATAGTGTGTATATATATATATATATATATAATATATATATATATCTTATGCCACCTATGCAGTATTCCTTCCAAGACCATTTCTCCAAAGCATTGATGGTTGTAGCTCCATCATAACTGACACAATAATACTAGCAGGTAGAAGAACTTAAGCATCAATTGTACATGCGTGTTTTCCAGTGAACTAGCTAGGATCAGAGTTTGAAAAAGGACACAAAATTGAGTTGTGCATTTAAATTCTCCAATCTCTGACAAAATATTGGGCTTATCTCTTTTAACGTTAGTTTGTAATGTTTATCTTATTGCTTATGATGTTTATATCTATGTATTATTTTAATTTAAATAAAATGTTATGACAATTGATGTAAAAATATCTTATTTTGGTGGTGGGGGAAATAGAAAAGAGCCAGATTAAATACTGTATAAATGTTGTGGAGAGGACGACGGAAGAAAATTACAATTTCTAATGTAAATACTTAGTGTGTGTAGGATCCGGCATCCGGATATAAATAGCTACATTTCTTTATAACTGGCAACTATTTTTATATAGTATGTAAATTTATATTATAAAAACATGAATGGTCTTTGGGCAATCATGACATTTAATTGAGAAAATTAATGTTGAGCATCCAGGAACAACACCACCAAGGTCAAAATAAAAGAGCACAAAGAAGAAGAGATGAATCAATAAATAAATGTGAATAATTTTTTTTTACTGTTGCAGTCGCCCATATTGGCAAATCACTCTTAACAGTCCAGATCTCAAAGAAAGTTATGTAAAGTAGAATGCCACATACACAGGGACTGAGATCCCAGAAGTCAAGTGAGGCTAAACTGTTGGCAAAAATCTTTCATTTCACGTATTGCAACTAGTGGTGGGAATTTTCTGAGTGTGTTTAAACCAACAGTGCAAAGAAATTTGTTCAGGAGCAATCTGTTACAAGCAAGTACCGAGGTTTATGTTATAATAGTCCTTGCATTTGATATAATGCCTTATCACGTAATTGAGACGGGCCTCTAACCACTTCTCAGAATATACTGTAAAGTGAATTGACTGTATTTTATGGGCGAACGCGGCAGCCAATTGCGCACAGACAATGTCCCACAAACAGTCGTGGATTGAAAATGACCAATTTATTATTTTTTTTGTTTTGGAGGGATTATTATTAGGTGTGTGGAGTAAGGAAATTTGCCCAAGGTTTCGCCCTCTGCCTGGAATTGAACTCAGGTCTCTCGCTTGCAAAGCGAGTGCTCTAACCACTGAGCTACAGGACTCCACACATGTGTATATATATGTGTGTATATATACACACACATAGCATGTATTCTAGGTACGTATATAAATATATGTATATTAGTGGGAGAAAAAGGGAAATAATAATATATATATATAACACTATTATATGATTATCTCACACTATTATAATATATACACACTCTCTCCAAACCCTTCAATGTTTCAGCAGAACTGTGTCAGATTATGGCAGAAATTTCCACAGGAGATTAGATAATTTTGGCAATTGTATTAACCACCATCTGGTGATAAATCCATCTACATCTATTATCAACACTTCTCAAATATTAGTTTCTTCTAAAAAAAACTATAGGGATTAGCTAGCAAACAAAAATAAGTCATGTTCATCCTGCACTCACCTTTCATCACTATTTTCCCAACTAGCTGGTTTGCTCACCATTGACAATTGATGCCCATTTTGATCTAGCACTAACTAATTTCCTCGAACAGAAATCATTCTGCCCATAATTAGTTGTTCCATCAATTCAACACTTGGTTTATAGTTATAATCTTTGCATTTGACATAGTGCCTTATCACATTTTCAAGACATCTCAAAGCACTTCACAGAAAATACTGCAGTGAATTGCCTGTATATTTTGGGGGCGAAACGCAGCAGTCGATTGCACACATCAATGTGCCACAAACAGTCGTGAATTGAAGTAACCAATTTATTATGATTATTAATTTTTTTGAAGGAATTATTATAATAATCCTTGCATTTGATATAGCGCTTTTCACGTCTTCTCAAAGCGCTTCACAGAATAGACTGTAAAGTGAATTGACTGTATATTTGTGGGCGAAACGCGGCAGTCAATTGCGCACAGTAGCGTCCCACAAACAGTCGTGGGTTGAAAATGACCAATTTATTATTGTTTTGTTTTGGAGGGATTATTATTAGGCGTGTGGAGTAAGGAAACTTGGCCAAGGAATGGCATGGAATTATCCCCGGAAAAGCAATCCGCCAATCAACTAACAACTGGTGCCTACTTACTGCTAGGTAAACAGAGGCGTATGGAGTAAGGAAATCTGCCCAACATTTCGCCCTGCTGGGAATCGAACCCAGGTCTCTCGCCTGTGAGGCGAGTGCGCTAACCACTGAGCTACAGGACTCCATCCAAGCCATCATTCTTTCGTAACAATTACAAGGTTTGGCTGTATGACAGAAAAATTGGTAAAGTCTCAAAGGACTTGCTTGTGCAGAAGAACACGCTAAGCCATCAATGACCCCAATCAGGATACAGCCCATTTCCCTGTCGTGATCACAATTTGGCAGCGACATCATTGGTCAATTCACAGAAATCTATTTCTTCGATCAAACATAAATCAGGTGCAACGGTGCAGGATTCATAATAAATGATAGCCCCTGTGCCAAGCTACCAGCTAAAAGGATAACTGACCTATTAGCAGATCCGCAAAGGCTACCTCCAATAGCAAAGAGTATCTTTCTTTGAGCAAGTGCACACAATGGACAATCTGACAACAACCATGCCTGCCGTATGATTGCAATAAAGACGTTTGGATAACGCCGAGTGCTTTCGGGGGGGGGGGGGGGGGGGAGAGAGAGATGGAACAGCACCTGAAACCCTTCGACTCCCCCTCCTCCCACCACATCGCACACTGTGCACTTCCATGAATCAAAAACAGAATAGAAACAGACTCCTTCCCCCCCACACACACACCCCACACACACCAGTCAGAAATAGCCGGGGTTACTTTGAAAGTTCACTAAGTGTAAGGATGGGGTTGGGGCTGAGGATGAAGGAGGGCCGGTAAGTGAGTGAGTGAGTGAGTGAGTGGGTTGAGTTGTCCCGAGTTGGCCGGCGGGGCTGCGAGGCCCAGGGCACAGGAGCGAGTCTCCGACAGACGCACACAGTCGCGAGTGAGTGAGTGAGTACAAAAACTATCAAAAGCTTCCTTACTCGGGCCGCCTCGCCTTCGCCTCCCGAGCGTCCCTCTGTAGCGCCGCACGGGAACGCCGGGCCCCTCTGCTCTCCCGTGCCTGCCTGCCTGCCTGCCTGCCGGCCGGCCGTGCGGGCTGCTCGCTGGCTGCCGGGCGGGGGATTCACTCAGCGGTTTAACGGCTCCAGGGTAACGACCAACTCTTGTTGCTGTTTGACCACAGGACGCGCAGAGCCGGAAGGATGCCGGCGCCCGCTCTGAGTGACAGCCGCCGCCCCGGCCAATCGCAGCTGGGCCGGAGGGCGGGACTTCCTGTCGGAAGCGGACGGCTGGGTTCGGCGCTCGAGCTGCTTCCCCCCTCCCGCCCCCCGCGGTTTGAAAGCGGAGATGGAGTTCCACTCTTAACGGTTTCTGGCTCCGGGCCGCCCGGCGCTGCTTCGCGCTCGGCAGCCAGTGGGCGTCTGTAGCTCGCGGTGCCTTTGCTTTCCTGCTCTCTTCACGAGGAAGAGGGGGAGGCGGCTGCCAGGTTTCCGGGTCTTCTCGCCCACTCAACCTTCAGCTTCACCCTCCCTCTGACCGGCTCCACGTTTTCCCTTTTCACTCCGGACTTTTCACCCTTCTCCTCCAGCCTGAGTCTCAACAGCCATCACCTTGGAACCCCCATTCGCTCTTCTTTACTTTGGTGCCTGACCCAGGCCACCGCCGTGCTTAAGAGTATCCAAACCGAGCTGAGATTTCCATGCGTCCCACCGACACATGGAAATCCCAGAGATAGATTGTTGTAATGGTACGCGCACTCTCTCCCTGGTAAGACGCATCCTACTCGCTTAATGCCGGAAAGCATTAGGCGCAGGTTGGCAAGAGCCGAGGCTTGGAGCCCCCAGAGTGTGTGGAGGTCTAACCGGAAGACATGTCACTGGCAAGCTTTGGCGCTGCTTGTCCAGCCTGGCCCACCCTACCCAATGGGGCGTTGACTTGCAGGGTTAACAGGAGCTGAATGGGATGACTCCCCTGTCCTTCCAGGTCCTGCCGATGAGCCGGGCTGTGCTGTCATCAGCAGTGGCCTGGAATACCGCGGACCTGCCTGGCTCAGGAACCGGCCACCGAGACCCCAGAGGGCCGGCTCGATTCCCACATTCCGTTGCCCGGCATGTCACCTTGGAGCCAGTTCAGCTCTAAGGAGACCCTGCTTACCTCCACCCCCCCACCCTTGAGAATAGTAGTTGGTCATTTGTCATCCAACATACAAGTGCTCCGATACTCGGATTCCTGTAGCTCAGTGGTTAGAGCACTCGCTTTGCAAGTGAGAGACCTGAGTTCAATTCCAGGCAGGGCGAAACCTTGGGCAAGTTTCCTTACTCCACACGCCTAATAATAATCCCTCCAAAAAAAACAAAAATAATAATAAATTGGTCATTTTCAATCTACGACTGTTTGTGGGACATTGCTGTGCGCAATTGGCTGCCGCGTTTGCCCACAAAAACACGGTCAATTCACTTTACAGTGTGTTCTGTGAAGCGCTTTGGGACGTCCTCCCGACGTGAAAAGCGCTATATCAAATGCAAGGATTATTATTATTATTACTCTGCCCCACGTGAAGGGTGCTAAATAAATGCAGGTTGTTTGAGGTCTCGCTGGGTGGATGGCAGTTGTTGGCGAGTAGCGCACCTCAGCAGGAAATTGAAAATTCACCCACAGAGTGTTTAGGGTTTACCACAAGTGGCTGTTGAGGATGGATAACAATAATCCTTGCATTTGATGTAGAGCCTTTTCATGTCAATAGGACATATCAAAGTGCTACTGTAAAATGTATTGAGTGTATATTTTGTGGATAATGATTTAGCCAATTTGTGCACAGCAAAATCCCACAAATAGCTATCAATTGAATGACCAATTTATCTGGAGGAGTTAGTCAGGCCATGGGATCTTTAATGTCCATCTGATCAAGCTCACGAAACCAGTTTCACAGTTAAAGAACGTCACCTCTGACACTACAGAACACTCCCGGCACTAGTATAGCAGTGTCAGTCTAGACTATGAGTTCAAAGTTACAATGTCAGGCTTGAACCCACAACTTTCTTACTTGGAGATGCGAGTGCTACCAACTGAGCCAGGCTGATGTCTGAATCATTCGAAAGAGAATTGGATAAGCGCCTGAGAAGTCAAAATAGCAAGAGCTATGGAGAAAGCTAGGAAATGGGATCTATAACCAACAATGATAAAGTACCAATCACACAGTTATTATGAGCCAAATGGTTTCTATCTGTGCTGAGAAAGTCTTAAGTACATTTTTGTTTATAGATATATTTTGAGATAGTGGTCCAAGTTGTTTTTGAGCGGCTACTCAGCTTTCACCATAGGATACATGAAAGTGCTCTGGGAGAGACTAACTCATGTGAAGGACGCTATATAAATGCAAGTTGTTGTACATGAAAATTAGTTTGTTAGGTTTGACAGAAGTCATAAGACAACTGCTCAGACCCTTGGGAGTTGTAGAGGAGAGGAATAAGGATCATCCCCAGTGAATGAGCTAGGAGCAACAATTACACAAACTTCAAACTCTCCAAAGAGATCTCAGTTCACACTAGGGTATATTAGGAAATACCATCTTATTAGGTATATACCATTTTAAATGGGATTGAGGAACTAAATCCAGAACAATACTGTTGGTATGCACTAGACCAACAACAAGATTGCATTTATAGAGCCCCTTTCACGTCGGGAGGACATCCCAAGGCGCTGGACAGTTGGGTCAGGACCTGAGCAGGGGGGAAATGGTCAGGGTGAGGGGAGGGAAGGGAGGGAGCGAGGAGGGGGTAGAGCGTCGAGAGGGGAGCTGAAGACACGGTTGAAGAGAAAGGTCTTGAGACCGGCCCTGAAGGAGGAAAGGGAGGAGGCGGCGAAGGCACTGGAGGATGGAGTTCCAGAGCCTAGGCGCTGAGAGGCTGAAGGCCCGGTCACCAATGGTAGGGCAGTTGGGGCGGGGGATGTGGAGCAGATCGGAGCCAGAGGAACGGAGGGTATGGGCAGGTAAGTAGGGGGATAGTAGGTCGGAGAGGTAGGAGGGAGCAAGGCCGTGAATGGCCTTGTAGGTGAGGATGAGGATCTTGAATTCGATCCTCTGGGGGATGGGGAGCCAGTGGAGGCGAGCGAGGGTGGGAGTGATGTGGTCCCGAAGCCTGGTGCGGGACAGTACACGAGCTGCAGAGTTCTGAATGACCTGCAGCTTGTGGAGGGAGGTGCCGGGAAGGCCGGCGAGGAGAGAGTTCCCGTAGTCCAGCCTTGAGGTGATAAAGGCGTGGACCAGAGTTTCAGCAGCGTGAGGGGTGAGGTAGTGCCGTAGTCTGGCGATGTTTCGGAGGTCATGGAAGGCTGTGCCAGTTGTGGAACAGAACGCCGAGGTTCCTGACTGGCTTTGAGAGGTGGAGAGTGCAGCCTTGGATGCTGATGGTGTCAGCGCCTGAGGTGCGGAGGCGCTGACGTGAGCCAATCAGGAGGGCCTCAGTTTTGCGCACGTTGAGCTGAAGAAAGTTGTCTCTCGTTCAGGACTCGATGTCGGACAGGAAGGCTGTCAGGACATCGGTGGTCGTGGAGTTGAGGGTAGAGAAGGAAAGGTAGAGTTGGGTGTCATTCGCATACATGTGGAAGTTAACCCCATGTCTGCGGATGATGTCAAGGGGGAGCATATAGAGGGTGAAGAGGAGGGCACCGAGGACAGAGCCCTGAGGGATACCGCACGAGACAGTGCGGGGGCTGGAGGAAAAGCCGTTTGCAAAGACAAAATTAAGACGGTGGGAGAGGTGGGACCTAAACCACTCAAGGACAGGGCCTTGAAGGTTGAGGTGGGAGGACAAGCGGTGGAGGAGGATAGAGTGGTTGACCGTATCGAATGCGGCCGATAGGTCGAGGAGCCAGAGGGAGCCCTGGTCGCAATGGTCAAGATGTCATTAGTGACCTTGACCAGGGCGGTTTCCGTGCTATGGGCAGCACGGAAACCCGACTGGAGGGGTTCAAAAAGTGAGTGGGTGGAGAAGAAAGAGCGTAGCTGGGAGGCGACGACTCTTTCGAGAACCTTGGATATGAAGGGGAGGTTGGAGATGGGCCGGTAGCTTGATAGCTGCGATGCATCAAGGGAAGGTTTTTTCAGTATGGAAGTGATGGTGGCAGTTTTGAGGGGAATGGGAACAGAGCCAGAGGAGAGGAACAGGTTAATGGTGTCTGTGAGAAGTGGGACAAGGAGGTGGAGCTGGTAGATAAGGAGTGGAGTGGGGATGGGGTCCAGGGAGCAGGTGGTGGGTTTCAAGGACAGGATGAGTTTGGTGACAAGAGGGTGGGGTAACGGGTTTGAAGATGTGTAGGGGAGGATGGGTAGAAGTCGGAGTGTGGGAAGGAAGGGGTGGGGATTGGGTGGAAGTAGGAGGGTCAGTGACCGCGGAGCAGATTCCCTTGATTTTGCACAGGTTGCAAGAGAAATTTCAGGAAAGAAACTAGGAAGTATTTATTTTCCCCAGAGGGCAATTGACAAATGAAACAAGTTATTAGGCAGGGTGGTTGAAGTTAGGACACTGGACTCATTAAAAAAAAGCGTGATGCTATGATGGGGGGATGATAGATTATTCTGGAAGGATAAGATAAAATGATCTGAAGGCCTTCATTGAAGCCTTTGTTATGAACTCCTCTTTTATCTCTTCCTTAATGCAGTAATTCAAATCACTCTGAGACCTGTCTCCCTCCAACATATCAAGTCCAGCACTTTTTACTATTAGATTTGAACTTTATTGCATCAGGTGACTGTAGTGAAATGCTGGTGGTAATTGTGATTGGACATGATGAACTTTTATCAAGTACTGTATTAGTTTATATGTGATTTTCTTTTTCTCTAGCAAATTGGAATTATATCACGGAATCAACCATGTAACAACACTATCAAACTAAATCCTTCATCCTTTTTTGTTTGATTTATGCTTTACTACTTTAAATACTGTTTGCTTTTTCCTTTGTTTCATCATTTTCTTTCTCTCATTAATAGTATAGGTTAAGAAAGAGCTGTTTGGTTCACTTTCCTTCTTTGAATTTGGGTCTGAACCCTTTATTATTGATTTCTGACCCAACTGTACAGCGCCTTGGGACGTCCTCCCGACGTGAAAGGCGCTCTATAAATGGAATCTTCTTGTTGTTGTTATTATTGATTTTTCTATAGATCACGTTAAACATACAGTATTAGGTTTCAGTTTATTTATAC